ACTGGGGACCGAGCCTGCAACCCGGGCCTGTGCCCCGACCGGGAATTGAACCCTGACCTCCTGGTTCCTAGGTTGGCACTCAACCACTGAGCCCTGCCGGCGGGTGAAAGTCCCGTATTCTGAGATCCACCTGACAGTCAGGAACACCCTCACCGAGCCCAGACCTGCGGAGGGACAGGGGGGCCCCGTCTTTAATTACCACAGACTCAGGAGACATCAACATAAATTATCGACTCGTCTGAAACGAAAAGATCCTCACTGTGTTTTCCTCAAGACATGTAGCTGGGTCTCGTTAAATATTGATTTTCCCGTGTTGACTACAGCAGGTCCCGCCTTCCCCCACGCCTGCTGCCCTTCTGATTAAAGCAGCGGTTCTCAACCTGTGGGTCGCGACCCCTTTGGCGGTCGAACGACCCTTTCACAGGGGTCGCTAAGACCATCCTGCATATCAGATATTTACATGACGATTCATAACAGTAGCAACATGACAGTTATGAAGTAGAAACGAAGATAATTTTATGGTTGGGGGTTACCACGACATGAGGAACTGTGTTTAAAGGGCCAGAAGGTTGAGAACCACTGCATTCGAGGGAGGCCGCTCCTTCTCTGCGGGGAGGCCTGTTTGGGGCAGTTCAGCCATTTCCGTGTGATTCTCAGAGGTGGTCTGCACGTTAAAGCTGGTGAAGGTTTTCGTTCCTGAAGGATTAATAAGAGGCTCACACGTCCTTCCGGGGGGACATAAGATCAGACACACATTCGTGCTCCGGCCTCCACCCCGTGCGGGCCGCCCTCTGAGGCCGTGTCGCTGCAACCAAGTGCTAACGCTTCAAAAATCCGTTATGAACAGACACGAAACCTCACACCTGCTCCAGAGGACGGCAGCGTCTGGGGGCACCGCGGCCTCGGTGCCTCTGCCGGCCCTTCCTCGCTGTGGCCAGGCTGCGCGGCCCCCGTGGGCCCTGACGTTGCGTCTGAGGGTGGGCTCTGCAGGCGGCAGAGTGGGTGCCCGAGGGACGGCGACCGCACGGCTTCATGAATAAACGCATCGCACGCATCAGCACGAGCCGCGTGCGCGAGCCGGACATGGGGTGAAAGGACACAGACCAGCAAGAGGCACAGGCCTGTCCCCGAGCAAAGCAACGCTGCGCACAGCCCAGATGGGCGGCCAGATCGGGAATGTTTCTCACAGAGAAGACGCAGACCAGGGGCCGCGCACAGACACAGCCCGGCCCTGGCACGCGTTCCTCCGTTCAGGCCTCGGTGTGCATGCAAAGTGCTGTGAACACTTTATTTTTTAAAAAACATGTTTTTAGTGACTTCAGAGACAAAGGAAGAGGGAGACAGAAACATCAATGAGAGCGCGTCATGGGTCGGCGGCCTTTTGCACGCCCCACACTGGGGATCCCTGACCAGAATTCCACTGTGACCTCCCGGTCCAGCGGTCAACACTCAACCCCTGAGCCATGCCGGCCGGATGAACACGTTACATAGTCAAACCACAGGCTCCGTGTTGGCAATGCACACACCACCACACCAGAGCAGGAATACAACACGCACGAGATTAATGACATGTGGCCTCGCTGGTGACGAGTGGACGTTAAAAACCAGAGGTGGGATGTGTGTTGGGGAGTCTACATGGGAGAGACTATTTCAAACTGGAAAATCCAGCAAAGTTTCATTAAAAAGTATAGTTTGAAAAATAATTCGCTAATGCCTAAGTATACTTCCTTTTTTCACTAAGTAAATATGCATTTTCCACCTAATACGAATGCAACCTATGTCTGGCAATTTATATAAATAAAAGGTTAAGTGACTGATCGTACATCCTTCCGACCAACCAACTGACCGACCGACCAACCGGTACATATGACGCGCACTGGCAATTTAAAAATAAACATTGACTCGCGCATGCACGATACATATAAAGCTCCCATCGAATTTCTGAATAGTATTACTCCTTCAGGAATGCTGTGTCATACATTAAAATTGAAAGTGGGTGCAATCATCATGCAATTGAGGAATCTTAATAGCAAATGGGGTCTTTGTAATGGTATCAGATTTATTATCAAAAGATTACGACCTAACATTATCGAAGCTGAAGTGTTAACAGGATCTGCAGAGGGAGAGGTTGTTCTGATTCCAAGAATTGATTTGTCTCCATTTGACAATGGCCTCCCATTTAAACTGATTCAACGACAGTTTCCCGTGATGCCAGAATTTGCAATGATTATTAATAAATCACAAGGACAAACTCTAGACAGAGTAGGCATATTCCTACCTGAACCTGTTTACAGACATGGTCAGTTCTATGTTGCTTTCTCTCGAGTTTGAAGAGCATGTGATGTTACAGTTAAAGTTCTAAGTACTTCATCACGAGGGAAATTAGTCAAGCACTCTGAAAGTGTTTTCACTCTCAATGTGGTGTACAGGGAGATACTAGAATAAGTTTAATCACTTTATCAGTCATTGTTTGTATCAATGTTGTTTTTATATCATGTCTTTGTTGTTTTATCATGTTGTTGTTTATTAATCAATTTATATGTTACTTTCATATGCATTTTACTAATTTTCTTTCACCTCTGACACTTCCATTACAGAGAAAGGGCGAACAGTGATATTAACATATTTCTTCGTTAATTTCCATTCACTGTGCAGGAGTCCGTGCCCCGGGCCACGAGTTATGTAATAAACACATCAGCCATGTCCCAGGTGGCTGAGCGTCACATACAGGAACGGAGGAGAGATGGCAGGAGGGTGCCAGGTGTGTGTGGTGCTGAGTAATGGAGTGAGATGTGGGGGGCGGGTCCGGGAACCTCACCACGACCCCGAAAAGCTCCCCCTCTCCACGGGCCAGTGGAGGAGGGATGCCAAGTTTGGGCTTTTGGAGGAGGACAGTTAGAGGGAAAGAGAAAGAAAGTGATTTTAAAATCTGATGAGGAGCTGAGATTCAGAGGAAGAGCTAGAGGCAAGGATGATCCTAAATAAATGTTAACATATGACGTGCAATCCAATGCCAGTCCCCTGTCTTCCCAATGAAACATCCACAAAGTCTACACAGCTTCTCAGAATCACGTGGGATTTGAATTCTTCCCAGACGCAGGACCCGTGGTGAGACGGGCTTCAGGAGTGTGCTGGCGGGGGGTCGTGACCTCAGGATCATAGCCGGTGAAAACGCCCAAATCATCACCTTCACCGTCAAACCTTCCTCTGTGTTCCCTTCAGTGAAGGGCCCCAATGCCCAGCGGGTCCCCTAAACCAGGAGCCCTCACACCGTTCTCCTCCCTCAGCAAACCCAGGTCAGCGAAGCTGCTGCCGACAGCGTGGGGCCCCCTCCATCTCCTCCCTCCACCCCACTGCCCCCCAACATCACGGGATCACACCCAGCCATCGACTCAAGTACCACCCAGCCCCCTGTTCTCACAGCTCGGGGCCCCCTCCATCTCCTCTCTCCACCCCCTGTCCCCCAACATCCGGGATCACACCCAGCCATTGACTCAAGTACCACCCAGCCCCCCGTTCCCACATCCCAGTCGCAGGAACTTCACTAGAATAGGGTTTGATCACGTGAGCAGCTAATGAAGAGGACGAGACCAGGTGAGGTGGCCAATGGCCCGAGCAGGCGCCGGCTTTATAGTCACTTATTGATAAAAAGTGTCACATTTCACATCTCAGATGGAACAGAAATGCCGCAGGAAAATTCCCCCAAAAAATAAAAGGACAAAGAGAACGTTTCCTACCTTTTCCATGTGCGGCAGCCGGCGTTCTCCCCTGGAGGCTCCTGGGAAAAAGCGTTTTCTTACCTTTTAGCTTCTGGACGCTGCTCCGCTCCTCCAGCGCCCAGGCCAGCACTGGCTGCGGTCTCTCCCACGATGCATCTCTCTCACACGGACCCTCCGCCTCCTCTTCACCTTCCCGGCAGGTGAGTGCAGGGCCTCACCTGGCTGCCCAGGTGGCTCCACTTCTCTGCCAGCAGCAGATTAGGCCTGTGATCCCAGCTCTTACCTTCAAAGACCTGACGCTAACCACACGTCCAATTTGTGGGGCTTAGAATATAACACACTTGGGGGCCATATTCTGTCACAAAATGCAAACTGGAAACAGCAGCATGGAGACGACAGAAAAACAGAAACACAAGAATCGGAGAGAACATTGGCCCCTGCTCCCCGGTCACCGGAGGCCGAGGACCGTGGTCACGACCGTTCATCCGACAGCTGAGGCCCAGAGCCAGGGTCCCGTCCCACAGGCAGCCTTCCTCCCTCCCGCCCTCGGCGTCCAGGACCGGGCAGTCACCGTCTACCCCTGACCCTTGGAAAACAATCCTTCACTCATTTCATTGTTTCCAAACCAGCGAAGGGCGTATCCGATGGGCCTGGGGAGTCGCACGCACAAGCAGGATCATGTATTGTGTCCAACCCCTGGGCTGTTGGCTCCCAGGGAGGAAAGCCGCCGCGTACAATCGGAAAACAGTGTCAATAGGGAAACAGCCGCCACGTTCCTGTCACACGCAAACGTGAGCAAACATGAGCGGTTGATGGACTTGGCCCGCAGTGTCACACGGCGCAGAGAAAGGTGCTTCATGTTAATTTCATACCGGCCACCTCATCTTCCCTTCCCTAGATCATGAGCGACGTACAGTCACCTGTCGGAGCATCGAGAGAAAAGTACAGTCTGAGACGGTAAACCGTGCAAAACCCAGGATTCACTTGTCTCACCTCTGACGTCACTGGGCCCTCCTCCGGGAAGGAGGCCAGAAAGCACAGACTCGGCCAATGGACAGAGCACCCACTGGCTTTACCGTCACTTAATGACAAAAACAGATCCCATTGCATCCTCAGATGCAGCGGAAAAGCTTCAGGAAAATCCCCCCCGTGATTAGCAAACCCAGAGAGTGAGTCCGGTGCAAAGGGCAATGCAATTCCTTTCAATCATGTTACCCGACACCTGCATACACTTCACATTCCTCCTCCATTTAAAGGTTAAAAGCAAAGGAGACAGACAGGTGACAACAAAAGCCCCAGACCGGATCCATCCGAGCCCTGCATCCAAACCTAGAGAAAATGGACACCTTTTCCAACACGGAATCCTATACCCAGCTCAACGCGTGTCAGATACGAGCACAACACCAAGACATCCCACACGCTCACGTCTCAAAAAGGCCTTCCCAGTGAACCTCCCTCAGAAAGACACTCGCGTTTCAAACCCAAAGCAAACAAAACCGCGCCCGTTAGACGGGCAAAACTAGCCTTTGTCCAAGACAGTATATGCTCTCCAGTGGAAAGTATGAAAGGCCCGAAAGATCTAAACACAGACTTTAACTCTAACCCACAGTGTGACAGACCCCTAACAGAAACCTTGACCTGCACCGGTATTTCTGCTGTAATTTCCCTTCGCTGGGGAAGCAAAGGACCACACACTTAGCAGCTGAAGGAAATACAAATCTGGGACCTTACGGTTCTGGAGCTCGAGGTCCAAAATGAGCGAAGACCGAGGTGTGCGAGCAGGTCTTCCCTCTCGCCGGGAAGTTCAGGTGAAAGTCTGTGCTCCTCCCTTTTCCAGTGGGAGCGGCTCTGTGTTCTGTTCTGCAAGTTCTAGGAGAGAGAAAAAGACGTCTCCCACCTTTCCCGGTGGGGAGAGGCCTGCGTTCTCTCCCGGGAAAATCCGTGTTCTCACCTTTTTAGCTTCTGGACGCTGCCCTGCTCCTCCAGCGCCCAGGCCAGCACTGGCTTCGGTCTCTCCCACAATGCATCTCTCTTACACGAACCCTCCGCCTCCTCTTCACCTTCCCGGCAGGAGTGCAGGGCCTCACCTGGCTGCCCAGGTGGCTCCACTTCTCTGCCAGCAGCAGATTAGGCCTGTGATCCCAGCTCTTACCTTCAAAGACCTGACGCTAACCACACGTCCAATTTGTGGGGCTTAGAATATAACACACTTGGGGGCCCATATTCTACCCCAACACGCAAACTGAAAACCCAGCGTGTTACTGTGAAATACAGAGCAGACGCCGAAGAGCTCGCTGAGAGTGTGGGGAGAGGCTGTACCTGCAGAGAGAGCGTTGGGTGGTGAGGGGCGAGGCTTATAGCTTAGAATATAACACACTTGGGGGCCCATATTCTACCCAACACGCAAACTGAAAACCCAGCGTGTTATTGTGAAATACAGAGCAGACGCCGAAGAACTCGCTGAGAGTGTGGGGAAAGGCTGTACCTGCAGAGAGAGCGTGGGGTGGTGAGGGGCGAGGCTTATAAAATCCCGTAAAACTCCTGGATTCGGTCCTTGATGCACAGGAGTTATTTTCCCAAAATAAGAAACAGAAACACTTATTTTAAAAAGGCGAGATGTGCTTTCCCAAGCGGCAAAGTGAGATTTTTATACATTTTGTTTTCAAAACTCCTCCCTCGGGGCCGGGCCGCGCCTGTCCCGTCTGTGGCTTCTGTGGCGGCTGTGACGGGAGCGTGGAGCTGGCTGTGAGTCACGGACGCGGCGGTTCCGAGGGCCACACGTGTGTGCTGAAGCGAGGGCCACATGTGTGTGCTGAAGCGAGGGCCACACGTGTGTGCTGAAGCGAGGGCCACATGTGTGTGCTGAAGCGAGGGCCACACGTGTGTGCTGAAGCGAGGGCCACATGTGTGTGCTGAAGCGAGGGCCACACATGTGTGCTGAAGCGAGGGCCACATGTGTGTGCTGAAGCGAGGGCCACACGTGTGTGCTGAAGTGAGGACCACACACTTGTGCTGAAGGGCTGGGCTTTGCTCAGAGAGACCCGGCCTAGCCCTGGTTCTGGGTCGGTCCCTGACCCAGCGGACAGGACTGTCCACTTAGCCTGGGACTGGGGCACCTGAAAGTCTGAGGGTCACGGGTGGTCGTGACATTGACGGCGGGGGGTGGGTCACCTGGCATCACTGGAGAGTGAGTTTGACCGCGTGACCCGCCCACCGTGCCGTGTAACGGAGCCCAAGGCACTGAGCATGGAGCTCAGGCCAGTTTCTCCGTCGGCAACACCCCGAACCACCGACGCCGTGGTCTGGCCCCAGAGTCTGCACCGTGGCTGCTCAGGAGCCCAAGGCACTGAGCATGGAGCTCAGGCCAGTTTTCCGTCGGCAACACCCCGAACCACTGACGCCGTGGTCTGGCCCCAGAGTCTGCGCCGTGGCTGCTCGTTTGCTGACTTTCACCTGCCTCCTTCCCTGCAGTCGCTCTAACCTCGAGCGTCTTGGCCTTTAGGAAGCTCCGCGAGTCCTCCCAGCAATCAGCCAATGCCAGGGTGGTTTGGGGCGTCCCCCACACTTGTGGAGGGTGAGAAGTGGGGGAAGTCTTGGGGACTCTGCCCTCAGACCTGACAATTTGGCTCACCCCAGGCCCCTGAGGTCCCCCCAAAACACAAATAAACAAACAAAACCAGGAACAGCCTAGAGAACCAGGGAGTGTGTGACTGACAGCTGGGTTTTAGGCAGAGAGAGCCCAGTGGGAAGAGCAGAAGAATGGGGGTGTCCACAAAGGTGACCCCAGGGATGGGAAGGGGCACAAGCAAATCCATGGACCTCAGATCCAAAGGCTGTTGGAATCCATGGAAAGTGGGAGAGACAAGGAAACCAAGCCAACGAAAAGCACGACAAAAACTCAGAAACCACAGGCTGACACACCTCGATGTGGGGTTGGGGGGTGAGAAGAGACAAACCAAAGAACTTACATACTTACTAGAGGCCCGGTGCATGACATTCGTGCAGGGGAGGGTTCCCCTTAGCCCAGCCTGCACCCTCTCTAACCTGGGACTCCTCGGGGGAAGACCGACTATCAGTTTAGGCCCTATCCTGGGGATCGGGCCTAAACCGGCAGTCGGACATCCCTCTCACAATCCAGGACCACTGGCTCCTAACTGCTCACCTGCCTGCCAGCCTGATCGCCCCTAACTGCCCCCCCTACCGGCCTGGTCACCCCTAACTGCCCCCCGCTGGCCTGGTCACCCCCAACTGCCCCCCAATCACCCCACGCAGCCTGCTGTTCGGTCGTTACTGTGACAGAGCCCCAGTCAATTTGCATAAATTTGCATTATTAGTATAAGTAGGCACAACCCATGGACACAGGGAATAGGGTGGTGAAGACCTGGGGATGGGTAGGGGCTGGGAGGAGGCGAGTAAAGGAGGAGACATCTGTAATTCTATCAGCAATAAAAATATAAATAAAAAATAAATAAAATTTTTAAAAATTCAGAAACAACAGAGAGCAGGAGGAAAACGCAATGACTCACCACAGACCCGTAGAGTCTAATAGAACCCGGAACAGTGGTGGAGCCTACAGCCTCAGTGTGTGGCCCAGGCTGGTGTGGCTCAGTGGATGGAGCGTCGGCCTGCAGACTGAAGGGTCCTGGGTTCGATTCCGGTCAAGAGAAAATGCCCAGATGGGCTCAATCCCCAGAGGGGGGCATGCAGGAGGCAGCCGATCCATGAGTCTCTCTCATCATTGATGTTTCTCTCTCTCTCCCTCTCTGTTCCTCTCCAAAATCAATAGAAATATATTTTTAAAAAACACTTTGTGCTGAGAAGAGAAGAAATGGAAGCGATAGATGCACGTGAGAGCGAAAGTCTCCTGGACGGGGCAGGGTGACAGTCCCACCGAGGCCTGGCCGACAGGACGACTGATGGACGTCAGGTCGGAGCTCATGGGACCGTGAGGAGGAGCTGGGGGGGGCGGTGCTGGGCTGTGTGTACTCGGCGATATCTAGCGTTTCAAGTACATGCATTTCTTCAGGGATCACACATCCGAGGGAGGCCCACACGTGAGAGAGGCCAAAACAGAAAGGCTACCATCAACGAGACAGGAATCAGCAGGAATCGGAGAGGCTGTGAGACAAAGGACCCTCATTCACTGCTGGTGGAAACAAACGGACAGCCGCTGTGGGAACGGGGATGGAGTTCCCCAGAAATAAAATAAAATAAAATAAAATAATGTGCATTTCTTTAATAATTTTTTAAAAAGCCATTTAAACAATACACGGTGCGTCCAGGAAGAGGTGGTGCGGAGGGAAATTGAACCAAGATGCAATCATCGGAAACAGGGCTGAATTTCTGAGATTTAACAGGAAGGCGCCGTGTGTCATCTCGGGGAGACATTAACTGCAATCCCCGCGGGAGGGCGGGCTGAATAGAAATGAAAATGGTGTGATGGCCGCGAGTTTCAATTTTAACTTTTAAAAGGCAATTACCTGTTCCCGAACACCAGTCCTTAAGGTTCCTGCGCACTCATTTAATCATTCCAAACTCAAGTGATTTCAACTTAGGGGACTGCTGAGAACAGTGATTATTAAAACACCGAGCAAAAGCCAGCCTTATGCAAACGGAACACATTGTTACGAGCTGGGCCTCCCCCACTTCCCGCGCTGAGACTTCGGGGTCACGTCTCAGGGGCACCCTGACCTCCAGGCTCTCACATGCAGTCCCTGAACTCATAGGAACTGAATCCATGAGCTCGATATATGGGTGTAACATTGCAAATGTACTGACCGCCACTGAGCTGTTTATTTTAAAACTAGAGGCCCAGTGCATGAATTCATGCACAGGTGGGGTCCCTCGGCCTGGCCAGCAATAGAGGCCTATCTGGAGGGCTGGCCGGCTAGGGTGAGGGACCGCAGGAGGTTGGCCAGCTGGCCAGGGGGGCAGGGGCTATGGGAGGTTGGCTGGCCCAGGGGGTAGGAGGGGCTGCGGGAAGTTGGCTGCGGGGAGGGGACACGGGAGGTTGACTGTGGGAGCACACTGACCACCAGGGGGCAGCTCCAGCATTGAGTGTCTGCCCCCTGATGGTCAGTGTGTGTCATAGCGACTGGTCGACCGGTCATTCTGGTTGTTGGGGGTCCTCTCAGCCCAGTCTGCACCCTCTCCAATCTGGGACCCCTCGGGGGATGTCTGATTGCCAGTTTAGGCCCTATCCTGGGGATCGGGCCTAAACCGGCAGTCGGACATCCCTCTCACAATCCAGGACCACTGGCTCCTAACTGCTCACCTGCCTGCCAGCCTGATCGCCCCTAACTGCCCCCCCTACCGGCCTGGTCACCCCTAACTGCCCCCCGCTGGCCTGGTCACCCCCAACTGCCCCCCAATCACCCCACGCAGCCTGCTATTCGATCGTTACTGTGACAGAGCCCCAGTCAATTTGCATATTCCTCTATTATTAGTATAAGTAGGCACAGCCCATGGACACGGGCAATAGGGTGGTGAAGACCTGGGGATGGGTAGGGGCTGGGAGGAGGCGAGTAAAGGAGGAGACATCTGTAATTCTATCAGCAATAAAAATATAAATAAAAAATAAATAAAATTTTTAAAAATTCAGAAACAACAGAGAGCAGGAGGAAAACGCAATGACTCACCACAGCGTAGTAGAGTCTAATAGAACCCGGAACAGTGGTGGAGCCTACAGCCTCAGTGTGTGGCCCAGGCTGGTGTGGCTCAGTGGATGGGTCGGCCTGCTGCGGACTGAGGGTCCCGGGTTCGATTCTAGTCAAGGGCACATGCCCAGGTTGTGGGCTCGAACCCCAGTAGGGGGCCTGCAGGAGGCAGCCAACCAATGATTCTTTCTCATGGTTGTTTCTATCTCTCTCCCCCTCTCCCTTCCTCTCTGAAATTAGTAAAAAAAAAAAAAGGGGGGGTCAAAACTA